GTATGTGAACACATTTGGGACTAACAGGGTTTACTAGAATCCCACCACTCCACCACAGAGTCGCCGCAGTAGACGTGAGATGAGCGCTGTCGCTCCGCGGCACTTGTTGATATTATATAAGTTGTTATACACAGTATCTTTTTTCACAATTCCTTTCAAGGATGATTAATGCTCTAAAGAAGAAGCTACTGACAGCTCAGGAGGGGATTGCAATTTTGCCAGATTCATTCAAGAATGACAGTGCAAGCTCTGATGTGATAGGTTCAGCTATACTCAGCATCTACCAGTCTTACTGGGCTAATATACACAATGACATCGAGGCTTGTGCAACCGAAGCACAGCCCATAGACAAGGTGGGTAATGAAATACAATGAGGCATGACAAAACTTTTGCATATCAGTAAGAAAAAGGTAGTAGTAATATCTGATGCATTTGATAATATATGAAATTATGGCACTTATGGCATGCTTTGCAGTTAAACATGGTTATGATACATGTAGTATCAATTTTCTCAATGTTTCACATGCTTGTGCCATAATATATAAGGTAATGACTTATAAAGCACCGTATGAAATTGTATGTAAGATAACAAAAGTACATACTTTCTTGTTGCTACATTTGGACAGTTATACACTCTGTATATTTTATAACGTCTTTACAGGCAATATCAGAACTTTTGAAAAAGCACCGCACAGGTGCAGCATCAATGACAGCCTTAAATTATCAGCTCCAGGTAAGAAATGGTGTCTTCATGTAAAATCTTATTAATAGAACTTGACTCGAAAATCTCTGTTAAATAATTTGTTCATCTTGAAAGTTCATAGTTGAATTTCTTTTACAACATTAAAGCCGCAATATGCACATCCAAACGCTAGTGTCATGCATAATCATACTACGTTATGACAAAATAAACTCTAGTTTCTCCCATTCAACTGCGCGTTGTCTTATAAAAGGTATTTGAAAATACCTCCAATTTTGTTCAAATTCTCCGATGTTGTTGACACGTTCGCGTTGCTCTGCCAAGCAACCGTACAGCGGGTGCAACCCGTAACAACATGTGACGTCACCTAACCGATTCGGCAAACAATTCGGCGTTGGCGCCAGATTGCCAGATTTCGCACGTCTTTCTTGTGGGTTTTAAGCAAACGCGCAGTGAAAGTGAAATGGGAGGAACTAGAGTTTATTTTGTCATAAGGTAGTGTGATTATGTATGACACGAAGTATTTGCTAGTCTAGTACTGGAGAAATTAGCGTTTGGATGCGCATATTGCGGCTTTAATAACATCATTGTTCATGGTTGAATCCCTAAATTATTTACCTTGACAGTTTCAGCTGTCGTTCTGACAGCTATCTTCATAGATAGCCTTCATAGATAGCTGTCAGAACGACAGCTGAAACTGCCAAGGTAAATAATTTAAGGATTCAACCATGAACAATGATATGTTATTAATAATTTGTTCATGTTTAGTCTTCATACCTAGATGATCTAATTTGTCTACTATCAACGTGTCTAGTTATAGTGCATGACTTGTAATGCCACTGATTGCCTCTTGCATCATCGCCATCAAATCATTCACTCAAGTCACACATACTGTTACATATTATTAGTGGTTATGTCTGTAACTGTAAGCAGAAAAAGACAGAACTTGATTGTAAATGTATTTTAATTAAAAGGGTAGATTTTATATATATATATATATATATGTGTGTGTGTGTGTGTGTGTGTGTGTGTGTGTATACATATAGGGTTTGAAATGAACATTTTTGCAGTACTTGCTGTTAGAGAAAAAAACCAGCAGTAAACTTGCTCACTTGGGCAGAAACTTGAGAAAACCTTAGCAGTTCCACTCCCTCCCACCCCAACATTACAGTAAGTACTGTCCCATCGCCTCCATCCTGTCCATAATGAAGCTGGTTTGGCCTCCTAGCCCTGTTTTCCCTGATTCGTTCATTCTAATTACAGTCACCTATGCTTAACCCAAAGTTGCATATCGAATGAAGTATGGACAGTAACGTAGGGTCAATGTGATTTGAAAACACCAACTTCGAATAACTGGCTATCGTTTTCACCAGAGATTGCCTGTAACATTGGTACTTCAATTTTAGGTTATTAATTTCTCGGCAGCAAGTATTTGCTGCCGACATTGGGAGCTGGCAGCAAACTGGCCCTAGTAGGCAGCAAATCTGCTTCTTGCTGCCCTTAATTTCAAACCCTGATGTATATATGTATATATATTATATAGATATATAGATGTCTGTTGAATTGCCTGATGAAGAGATGTACATCTCGAAAGCTTTTAAACTAAAACTTAAACACCCTTAACCTATTATTTGAATTTGTTTTTTATTTTGCTTATATATATAAATTCATTACTAAGTGTGATATTCGATGTGTCATCATGCATTGGATTCCGATAACAGCCGTATTTGTGTCCGCGCAGGTTCTGCCTGAGCTAGCAGTTCAGGTGCAGGCAATCAAAGCCACTTTCGATGAGCTGCGTGACCTCTATCAGCGAGTGGAGGCGTCCTTGTATGACCTTGAGAACGATCACGCAGAGCTGGAGCAACGTAAGCGCAAGCACGAGCGCATCGACGAGCTCGCCGCGTACAGTCTCGCGAAACGCGCCGAGCTCGCAAAGCTGAAGGGACAAATCGCCGTCGGCCACGCGAAGAAGGTGACCGAGTACGAGCAGAAGAACACGACGCTGAGGCGAGAGAAGGAGAAGGTGTTCGAGGATGAGTTCCTGCTGGAGCTCGAACAGTATAAACTGAGTGGCCACGTTGAGCGGCAGGCGATGGTCGAGCACGCGCCACGGACGCTCGATGACGTGTCTATCGACAGCGATGGCGCCGAACTCGACAAGTTTCTCGAGGATGTCGAAATCGGTGCCGATAAAAAAGAACGTGTCAGTAGTTTCAGCAGTAGTGATGACAATGATGATGGTGGTGATAAGGAGGAGAAGGAGGAGAAGGAGGAGAAGGAGGAGAAGGGGGAGGAGCAGGGAGAGGAGAAGGAGCAGACGGAGGAGGATCAGGAGGCACAGAAGCAGAAGGAGAAGAAGCAAGAGTTGCAGGAGAAAACTTGTGAAAGTGACCATTAAGAGGCGCTGTAAGATATAAATTTGTAAATTATTATTGATTAAGTAAAAGAACATACAAATTTTAACTTAAATAATATCGTTAATATCTGAATCGATATAAGAAATCAGTGCTGATAAAAAATAACGTGTCAGTAGTATCAGCAGTAGTGATGACGATGAGGAGGAGGAGGAGGAGAACGAGGAAGAAGAGAAGGGGAGGAGCAGGTAGAGAAGGAGGAGCAGAAGGACCAGGATGAGGAGAACCAGACGCAGGAGAAGAAATAGGAAGTGGTGAAGAAGAAGCGAGAAGAGTAGAAGAAGACCTGTGAAAGCAGCCATTAAGAGCAGGTGTGAGATTTGTAAATTATAATTGATGAAATAAAAACACATTATATCCAATTAATTTATATTAAATAAAATCGATAAACTATTTGTGATATGTCTGTGTCAAAACTACATATATTAGCACGTATATGTGACATATATAATTTACAAGTTACACATGTAAAATCCTCACGATGTGTCCATTAATAAGCATAACACCCAACTTGACCAATTTTTTGAAGATGTAGAAATCTTTGCAGACAAAGATTCAAGGAGTGGCGCCAGTGATAGCAATTATGGTAACGAAAATGAGCCAGGGAAAAATTGGGGGATCATGAGAAGACTTCGGAAAGTGATTATTACAGGCAACTGTAAGATATTGATTTGCTCGTTGTCACCGATTAAATAATCAAAAATATATTGGTTCCATCCTGTTAATAAATATAACACTAAACGACTGTAATATTTCTTTGTTAGAACCTGCATATATTAACACAGGTGATTGTGGCGTGTGCAAATGACAGCTGTAAAATCCTGAAGTCTTACTTGAATACTAATCTAATAATTTGTCTTCAAAAATTACCATATTTCCCAGTTCATAGCATGTACTTTTTTATCGGGAAATGTCCCCAAAAACCACCATGTGTCCTAGGTAAGATGCAGTATATTATAGACCTCAGCGGAATTGTCTGCAGCATATAATAATCAATGCTAATAGAGAGAAGGCCTTATAAGATACATGATATTTGAGGAACAAAAACATGAAAAACAAGGGCTTTATTTATACAGCCGTATTTGGTGAGGACATGATAGTGGGGATTGAGAGATATTATGCATTTAAGCTAGCCAGAGTATTTCCATATGAATTGGATTCGTCTAATGCATTGGAGCGTCTAATAAGCCACGAAATACGGGGTCTTGTATATAACTTATTATACTGTAATAAGCTGTACGACTGATCCGTGTAATTAACTACGGATTTGCTTGTATGTGGCGATACAAGGGTAATGATTTAGGATATATATATATATATATATATATATATATATATCATAGTTGTGCAAATTATTTGGCATATAAGTGCTGGTGCGTAATTTTTCTTGCATGCGTGTATTTTCTAGCACTATACGTTTATGATTCTGCAGTGATGCAAGGCCGTAGCTAGCGGGGGCAAGGGGGAGGCAGTTGTAATGAAATGTACATTCATTATATAGTCAGTGTCGGTCACCTTTCTAGAACAAACCACGCACGTGGCTTTGCCCCCCCCCCCCATCCTCCAGGCGGCAAAATGGATTAGCTACCCTCCTGTATTTAATGTAAGCCGAAATTTAAATTTTATGTCATATGAAAGGTCGAGACACTGACGATTCCGAGGGTGGTAGCGCTCACCCGTCTCAGAATCAATACCAGCAAACGAGTGAAAAAGCATAAGATCATGAGTTGATTTACTCCATTACCTCCATTGATTACCTCCATTTTACCTCCGTTGATTACCTCCATTTTACTTGATTCCCAAATTTATTGCTCACCGGAGGCCAAAAATTAACAACTGAAGCACTAAAATGCGCGGGTGCCCGGCGATCCAGCGCGGACTCA